AAAAAGATTATAAGAGTTCTGTGCCTATTGGAACACCGATGTTAACAGCTCGCCATATTGAAACAAGAATGGAATGGCACAATCTCATATGAATGATGATTGGAGCCATACAATTTTTACTGATGAAACTTGTTTCGTAATAAAATTGGGTAAATTTATTTTTTTTTTGGTTATATAAAATCTCGTTGGAAAAAGCGATTGTTTCAAAAACTGCAAGATGTATATATATGTGTGATAAAAATATTCGTTTAGATAAAAAGTAGAACCAGATTTGCTTGAAAGACATAATAAAACTGGTAGTTGTATATTAATGAGGGTTTAACAAGGGTTTAACAAGGTTTACTAAAAATGTTTTAAAAAGGATGATATTAAAACAAATAAAAGAAAAATTTGTGAAGGTTTAACACTGATGATGAGACAAGAAATTATCTTAAACATGTTAGTTTAATAACAATCCTTTGGTGGTGCACTTCGTGTAGAATCAGTTGCAAAGGAAATAAATTTCACCCAATGGCTGCACTATTATATCTGTTTTACCAGTTGTAAATCTCAAGGTCATATTTTTTAATGCGTTGGCAAGTTCAAGAGCAAGATAATAATAGGTGATGATCCAGATAAATCTTTTGTGTTGATCTGTATTTTGTTCCTTGTAATTACCTAAAATCAATTAATTAACTTGTTGAAAAGCAGAATCCATAAATATCACATTGTCTGTTCTTTTCAATCCATTCCTTATGAATGTTACGAAGTTGGAGTTTCTATTCGAATGATTCATTTAATTTGAATGACTCATTTGATTTGAATCATTTGATTTAATTATATGAATTATTCAATTTTATTCATCTACTTGGATTGTTTGAAATTTTCAATTTGTTCAAACCTTCGAGTAATTATGTCATTCTCTTACATCAATATCATCATTAGAAACCACGTTCAAAATATAACAAATTCTATATTATTAATATTACCATCATTAAATTATTCTTTAATGAGATGGGAATCATCCACCTATCAATTCCAACTATATATTTCTTATATATTGCTATTCCTTTTATAATTTCCTATTACTATTTATTACTGTTATCATCTATCTATCTATCTATCAGAATCGTTACACGAGATAGATACGAATAGGAATAGAAATTTAAAAATATTTAGCGTATATTAATATGGGAAAATAGAAATGGACCACGGAAAAAATCATGATTGATTATTAAATTATATTAATAAAAGTATAATTTCTAAGCTAGAATTAATCTTTGTGACGAATTGCATATAAGAAAATTAACTATATTTCAAGTAATTTACTATACCTTTAACTCAAAATTGCTTTTTTCACAACACGCCCCATATATGTATAAATTTATTGTTACTTACGATTGAAAGGGTGAAATATATGTAGCATACTTGCAATGTCTTCTAGATTGTCGATTTGTAAATTGGATTTATATTTCGCTAGAACTATTCTTTTTTATCTAGGATCCTTATTGACAAGATTGTTTTGCTGACTTTGTAACCGCGTGCTTCGGCGCCAAGATCATTGTCATCGGCTTTTAGGTTCAACAGCTTCGACTGCATTTGTTGTCCGCTTTTCTGACTTTGTAATTAAGGGTGCTACTTTATTATACGTCATCGGTTCATTGTCCGCTCCGAGTAAATAAAAAATAAGCTTACAATAATTATTTAACATCAACCAGTGTTTTTTTCTCTTGCTCTGGTTCTCAAATAATACTTACTCTAGAAATTGGTTTATGTTATTTATATTTGATTGAAATCAAAGTGTGGTGTGAATTTATTGTCTTTTACATTATATAGGTAATCATGTTCATCTCCATAAGATTCTTTATCACAAGAACAAACAAATAGTTGGTAAATTATTATTATTATCATTAATATGGAATAAATCCCCAAAGGTAAAAAAGTAGAATAACTAGGCGGGAAAACTGTTCTTAGACTAATGTTGTTTGATGAGATGTTACAAAAGTTGTAAAACTATTATGTTCAAAAAAGACGCAAGTAAAATTGCTTTGAAGTCTTCTTTTTTGCTTTGAAGTCTTCTTTTTTATATTTTTCTTGTGCATCCCGATCTCTCCTTCCCAAGATGCTAATTTTTTCTTTGGCTGAATACAAATTCAGTTTCCACACACTCATTTATTATTAAACTCGGATATTTCTTATATTAATATTGATAACACGATACATGATCAAGTGCTTTATGTTCTAGGGTCGACTAATTTTAGTGTTGACCTACGTATACATAATTATCATCAAATGAAGTTTTTACGCGAAAACTTTTTATAATATCAAATTACTGTGTAAACTTTGGTCTTCGCTTGAAAAAGCAAGGGAAAATAAAACTCTGATAGAATCATTATTTTTATTAAATTAATCTTTAATAAACTTTTAAAAATAAAACCGTTGTCTTTATTTTCTTGTTTAAGGCGCTTTAATAAAAGCAACAAGTGTAGTGCCTTGGCAAAAGATAACAATTGTGGAGCATGGGTAAAAATCACGTTTTATTTGCAAGCAAGGCTAGGATTAACGTTGGTTAACTAGTGGCGTTAATGAAGTATTGTCCAATGGTTAATTGAAAGTAATGGTAGTATTATTAGTATTATTGTAATCGTAAACGTAAGGTTGTTAAACAAGCTACTGAATTTATAAACCAAAACAATATAAACAAGGATAAGCGACTGAAATAAATCGATTGCAAATGAATAAAAGGAAGCCTTTGAGCTTTGTAAAAGAGGTGATAAGAAAGAACTAATTGACAAGCACTGAATTGCTAGCAATTAATTGACAAGAGTAGCCCAAAAGTTAAGCCGTAATCGGCATTAACCAAAGAGCTACCCTAAATATCACCATTTAACAAGGATAAAATTTTATTACTTCAAAATTTAGAAATGAAATAAAAATAAAATGAATTTATACTGGAGATTAAATTAGTCATTCATTGATTCTTTCTTTTAATTACTAGAATCTAATGTTTATTAATTAAAAAATATTGTTAGTAATAATTAATGGATAGCAATTTCCAATTAATTAATAATGAAATTTTGTCCACCTTCATTAAAACCAAGGTTATTTAACAAACTATCATTACTAGCATAACTTTTTAAGCTTTTAGATTTAGCAATCTCTTCATCTAATATTCTACTTGTATGGTATGCGTCTGGATGTGGTTTGTGTACTTGTTGTGAACCACCACCACCACCAGCAGTAGTATTATTATTTTTAAAAACTTCACTATGCTTATTTTTAGCAAAGACAAAAAGCTCTCTCCAATAGTTGGTCTTTTTGATGGATCCACATCCCAACACTTCTCCATCATTTGTGCATAATCATCAGGCATTTCAGGTAATATTGGTGGTCGTAAACCTTCTTCACATATATCAAAAATTAAACAATGATTATGAGCTCTATTGTCAAATGGTGGGTGACCCGCAAATATTTCCCACATTAACATCCCAACACTATAAATATCAGATTCTTTTGTGTTCTTTTCGCCTCTAAGTAGCTCGGGTGCAACATATGATATAATTCCATAGACTTTATTTGATGACTTTTCATCAACTGGTCCACATAATCCTAAATCTGTAATATAACAACCACCTGCTTGCACAAGTATATTACCACTATGTAAATCACAATGGATTAAATCTTTTTCATGCATATTATCTAATGCATAACATAAATAATGAAAGATTGTAATTCTATCTTTTAATGTTAAATTTAAATGATTTTTTTGCAGATGATCTCTTAAATTTCCTTTTAGATAATTTAAAACTATTGCATAATTTCCATTATTTGGGAATTTGGTTATACCAGAGCAAGGAACAATCAGTGGTGCTTTAATTTTACAATAATTTATTGCCTATTGAATATAAAATCAATTAGTGTTATATAATACAGCATTGTTTATTTTAAATGACAACTACCAACCTCATTAAAAAAGCTTTTTCCTGGATTACTTGAATCATTTAAACTTTTTAATACTACTAGTTGATCTTCTAAATAACTAAATTCCTTTTTATTTTCGTCATAATCGTTTATTTGTCCTCTTGTCCATGTAGCAGAATAAATTGAACTAAATCCACCTTCTGCCAACTTTGTTATATCATAAAATTGCTCAAAAGGTATCCATTCTAAAATATAGTTTGGCAGAGATGATTTCATTTGACACTGTTGAATAAAATCATCAATTATGTTATTTCCAGAAGTCCAAGTGGTGAAAAGACTCTGTAATTGTAAACTAATACAACCTTCACAGAATCTATCAGAATATCTTATCAATTTACAGCTGTTGCATTCTTTTGGTTTGCCCCATTTATATGTTGCATTGTTTAATTCAAACTCATAAATAAACTCTTCTTTACAATATTCTTTTTCATTTTCAGAAAGCTCCTTGTTTTTTTGGACCAATGAAAAAAAATAATCTTTTCTACTTTCTTCATCAGAATTAGCCAAAGCATTATTATGCAATTCATTTTTGGTTTTATATACAAATTCCCTTCTTTCTTGTGATAACGATGATAACAGCTCAAGATGTGACATTATAAAAAAATTTGACTTGGTGCTTTAATGAATAAAATGGAAAAAAATTTTTTAGAGAATAATTTTGCGGAGAACGACGTGTAACAAACAATTTCCTCGTAATATTATTCGTAATTCACATTTTAAACTTTTGTTATAATGACTTTTTTTGACAATCAAGTTTATTTAAGTTTTTCTTTGACAGATTAATTGAAAATTGCATTATTTAAAGAACAACTTTATCATCACCAAACTCTAGTTATTGATTTATTGTGATTCAACAATAAAAGAATTTTAAAATCTTCAAAATGAAAACTTACAAAATCTGTACCAAAATCTGTACTATGTAAAGGTCGTTCTACATACCAATATTGATCAGCCCATGTTGTTTCAAACTCAGGCACTCGAGCGCATTTTTATTTCATTAATAGTATTATTGTGTATTGTTATTACATTAACCTCAAAGTCAAAATTCGAAAAAAAATCAAGTTAGCACAACTCGTATGTATGTAAAAGTTGCTCTACATACCAATATTGACCTACTTGTGTGTGTTTCGAACTTGGGCACTAAAGATAATTCAAACGCGTTTCGATTTTTTTCATTTTATGAAATGTAGTAATAGTCCTAATTTGTAAAAAAGAAGAGGCTTTTTTAGAAATTACATTTGTAAAACTTCACATGACAATTATTCTTCCTACACCATTGTAATATACATACATACAACGATGTCACAATCCAAAAAAGGAAACAAAATGGTCGTAATAGTATCAGTATGATGTATTAGTATCTGGTGATGCTAGTGCTACCCGACGTCTTGGATCTGCATGTGAACGTGCCAAACGACATTATCCTCATTGACACAGACCACCATTGAAGTTGACTCTTTGTTTGATGGAGTTGATTTTCAAGCAACTCTTACAAGAGTGAAATTCGAGAATTAATTTATCCATTATTCATGAAACCATAGAACCTGTACGTAAGGTATTAAAAGGAGATTGTTTTGGTCGGTGGATCAACCACTTTTTCGAGAATTTTTGATGGAAAAAAATTAAATAAATCAATTAATCCTAATGAAGCAATGGCATATGGTGCAGCAGTACAGACAGCTCTTCTCACAAATCAAGCCAACAGTGATAAAACACGAGATTTGTTGTTATTAGACATGATACCTCTTAGCTTAGGAGTTGAGACACAAGGTGGTATCATAACCATAGTTATACCTTCTAATACAACACACCAATCCCTACAATCAAAAAAAACCATTTACAACGGCTGAGGACAGACAAACGATTGTGGAATTTCCAGTGAAAGACCCATGTGTCGTGATAATCTTCTTGGATCATTTGAATTCACTAATGCCTCATGATGAGGCAAAGTTAGAGTGTACTTTTGATATTAATGCTGACGGTATTCTAAAGGTGACAACTAAAGATAAAGCAACTGGTCATAAAGCAAATATTACTATTTCAAATTCTGCGGGTAGATTATCAACAACTGGAATCAAACATATGATTGCTGAATCTAAGAAACTCAAAGAAGAAGATAAACAAAGTCAAGTACGTGTTGAAGCTAAACAAGAACTTGATAATTATGTTTACCAGGTAACCAATTAGCTAGGATGCATTGATGAACAAACGAACAAATATTAATTCATTATTAATAATTGATATTTAGATTGAAAATACGCTTAATAAACCAACAATGGTTTATTTTATTTCCTTTTTTTAAAAAAAATTTTTTATTCTTATAACGGATGTTATAATGTCTTTTGCACTCCACCTCATCTTCCTGGTGGTCAACTTACGCCAATTGGAACGGCCTGGTATCTTTTCAAGACGGGGGGGGGCATTAAAACTGATTTATTTTACAGAGGATGAGCAATTTTTTTATCTTGTATCGTAAAATCTTAATCTTAAGAATTTAAAAATTTAAATCTTTAATTATTATAAATATTATAAATAAAGTCAATGTAACTAATTACATGTATATTTTCGCTACGAGAATACTTGGACCAAGAAACTAACTGAACTTTGTCCCGAATGCATCACAGATGTTTGGTTTTACACATGTAATGTAAATCACATCAAATTTATAAATAACACCAATAATAGGTTTTTATTTTGCTTTCTAAACAGAGGCTTTGAATGTCTTTGAGCTTAGTGTACAGTTGCGAGCAAGGAAGAAATAAGTCACTCGTGCGTTTGCTTCTCTTAATCTTTAAAAAATAAACAATGATAAATATGTACAATCTTTAGACAAGATATAATAAATTCATGTCTAATTCAGTAATTAAATTAACATTCATATAAAATAAAAGAATGGATTTGTTAATAAAACAAACCCGTCATAATATTTAGTGTGAAATTTACAAATTTTCTGATCGATCTAATGATCATCCAAAAAAATCTAGATGTGTGTTTTTTAGACTGCACCCACAGTTGAACTTATACCATGAACCAATTCAAACTCAACGTGGTAACGAAATACCTGAGAATCGCTAAGAGTCGTTCAATAAGTCCTTATCACTCCGAATATACAAAGGGTTAATATTTCCGAGTCATAAAGAAAGTCTATTATCTACAGTTTATTATAATTATCCAAATACTGACTTTTTTACACTTTAAAGAAGAATTTATACATTCCCTCTCCAAATCATCGCCACCATTTACCATTTTAAAACCACATTTGAATTACAAACATTTCGTATCTTCTAAAGTTGAAATTTCACAAAACATAATAAACCGTAATTTGAAAGATGTAAATATTAATTTGGTGGTTGATCTCTATGAAAAATCTTGTAGACTAACGACTGATTTAAACTCGCTTAAATCAAAGCGTAATGAAGTTTCAAAATTGGCAAAATCATCAACTCAACAAGAACGTGAAAATATTTTACAACAAGGAAGAATGATAAAATCACAAATTTTAGAAAAAGAGGCATTATTATCAACTTTGGAGGAGGAATTGATGAGAGAAGCATTGAAAATCCCCAATGACACACATTCAGATGTGCCTATTGGTGGCGAGGAAAATGCTAGGATAATTAAAATATTTGATGAGCCGTCACTACCACCATCATCCTCCTCCATCATAAATAATAATGATGTTGATATTGATGTTGATAAAAATGGGGGTGGTAATGAACAATTAAAAAAAAAGAAAGATCATATAGAATTGGGTAATGAATTGGATATTATTGATTTTGAGACAGGATCTAATGTTACAGGAAACCATTGGTATTATTTAAAGAATTCAGGGGTATTGTTGGAATTTGCTTTGATACAATTTGCTTTACAAAAAGCGATTGAAAAAGGGTACATGCCTATTATTACACCTGATGTTGTAAGAAAAGATTTTAGTTATGCCTGTGGATTTCAACCACGAGAAAATGAATCTTCACAAAACTATTTTTTATCAACAGGCGAAGAAAACATTTCAACAAGTAACAATAATAATAATAGTGGTGGTAGCAGTAGTAAACATCACAATCAATTAATGCTAGCAGCTACAGCTGAAATACCATTAGCAGGGATTTATTCCGATAAAATATTATTTTCAAAACAATTACCAAAAAAATTTGTAGGATTTTGCCATTCTTTTAGGTCAGAATCAGGTTCAAGAGGTAAAGAAACAAAAGGATTATACAGGGTGCATCAATTTAGTAAATTGGAATTATTTATATTTTCAAAACCTGAAGAAAGCGAGGAGATGTTTCAGGAAATTGTTGATTTGCAATCAAGTATTTATAAAGATTTAGGATTACCATTTAGAATCTTGGATATGCCAACATTTGAACTTGGAGCTAGTGCTTATAGGAAATATGATATAGAAACATGGATGCCAGGTAGATGTAAATGGGGAGAGGTAATGTGTCCAATATCTATTTATAAATTTTTAGATTCATTCATTCATTTGATTATTGGATAAACGAATTATTATTAATTACATTATTAGGTTTCATCAGCATCCAATTGCACAGATTATCAATCGCGTAGGCTAAATATAAGAATGAAACGTTCTATGTTAGCGTCAACAGAATTTGTACATACATTGAATGGAACAGCAATTGCAATACCGAGGATGATTATTTCAATTATTGAGAATTTTCAAACAAATGATGGAAAAGTTGTTATACCTAAAGTGTTGAGAAAATGGATGTATGATATGGAGGTTATTGATAAAAAATCTTGAAACTTTTAATTTGATCTAAATGTAGAAATTATTTCTTATAATGTGATACTTATAAAATATATCAAAAAGAAAGCAAGGTAATAATTTAACAGTACATAGTAGAAAAAAAATATGAATATGTTGAATATCATTACTATTTGTTCAATCTCTTTGTTGGTAATGGTGAAGTAATGTTCTACAAGAATATTTCTTCTTTCATGACAAACATCAGATAGACTGTTTAATCATAGATCAGTTTTTTCTGAAAGGGGTAATAAAAGTATTAATTAACTCCTAATATAAAATAATATTTTCTTGATGGTTGCATAACAAGGTTGTTCACTACAAAATATATTGTTTAACTATAGATCTGTTTTTTTTTTTTTTTGAAAAAAAGAACAAAATTTAATTGACATAACATATTTGCTGTTTAATATATATGTTCAATTTGAGCTCTAGATTAGACGTAGATAATTAATTATTCAACAAATTTTTGACCATGCAAATTGTGAGAAATCTTTATGTGATTTTGATCCAATGAAATTTCTTCTATAACATGTAGACCTAGTTCTAACCAAATCAAGTACTCTGAAATATTACATGTTTTACTATGAACATTTTTAATCACAGCAAGTTGCACCTATAATAAATCATCTGATTTTTAGTCATATTGAGTGAACATGCTTCTTTGTTGATAGACATTTTTGATCAAAAGAAGTTTCTTCTAATAAAAAATCAGCAAATATTTGGCCTAGATAATGCTCTCATACTTTCTTGATATTCAGTAGGACATCCCATGAAATATCTTACAATAAAAAATATTAATATTTCAATTTAACAACGGAAACATGTAAATTTGCAAAAATAATAATATCTAACATTTAAATATACACATTGCAATTACTAATAATATATGTAGACATACACATCATACAGATCATAGGTGATGATGGGTTTTTGTTATTCTCTTTAATTTAAATGGATGTATGATTAATCAGAATATCATGTGACAAATCATACTGGTCGAACTGAGATTTGATCGATTTGACCAGTAAGCTCTACTAATACATCAAATCATCAGCAATAAGTTCGTTTTAACCATTATACCTCTATCTAATGCTCAAGTAAAAAGAATACCTTCTCAACAAAATTTAATAAAAAATAAAACGAGAAATAGAATGAATATTGATACTTTGAGTAATCATCTAATGACATTGTTAAATGAACCAGAAATAGAAGATTTTGATTTTGGCATATAAAACATTGGGAAATAAGAAAATGAGAAAGAGCAGCTATGAATGTTAAAAGAATTATTACATATATTTTTATAAAATAATTTTTATTATGGTACTATGTTTTGGAATTGTCATGTCTAGAACATAATATTAAAACATTATCTTGTGCGAAAGACATAAAGTTGTGTTTATACAATAGACATAAACTTATGTTTAACACATAAAGTAGTGATAATGTGTTAAAGACATGGAATAGTGTAGATAACACAATCTTGTGTTGAAAGCGTTACTAATTAATTTAATTGTATATAAGAAGCTTGAATTCGACATACTTTAACTTTGTAACGAGTTAACTTAGAAATAAGTTAATAAATTAGCTTCAACTAAATAAATTAAACAAATATTTTCTTAAATCACTGTACAAATTATTTGCTAATAAAACTAAATCCCACTTCATTCTGATCCACATAATAATCAATACGTTCCCCCAAATAATAATTCTAATTAAAATTCGTCAAACCCCACCCTAACTGTTACACCTAAAGCAACTACCGTTTAAAAACTTCAATTATGCCTGTAATATATGATATGAATCAATATATACTAATTTTCAAAAAAACTTTTTTATAAATATTTTACCTTTATATGTAGGTAGGTACCACTGTATTCTTGTTTACATAACTTTTAAAGATTTAGGAATATTTTGACATAAAATAGCACGGAATCTTTTTAAGTTTTGAGCGAAAAAATATATCAAGTTTGGGGTCACGTAAGGAACGGTCAATTATATTATTTATTAATGATCACGAATTTAATAAATTGGTCTTCATACTAATTTGATTTATTGATAAAAAAATTACGTAACTGTATAAAAATAAGAATCGAAAGAGATGAATAATGGTATTAGATAGGCCAATTAAAGGCGAAATATATAAATATCCAATAAATATTGAGGAAAGGCCAATCAAGGGTGAAATATATAAAGAAAAACTTTGTTATCAAGTATAACTGGTGATGACACGTCATTAGATATTAAATATATTTATAAAGGCTACACACGTTGGTTGGGATGCTTGAATTTCATATAAATTTAATCAATCATAATTAATTAATTAATGTGTACGCGTCATCCAAATAGTAAATTTAAATTCTTTCTTAAAAAATGCCAAATTTATAAAAATAATCAGAAAAGAAAACAAGATCAAGAATTAATCGAAAGAAGCGGGAAGTGTTTATCATAAGAATGGTGGTTATCACTACTCGGCGTCACTCTAGTCTACATGGATTAAACTTTAAATTTCGGCTTTATTTTTAGGAAATCGAAAGCAAGTACTGGAAAAGCAAAACGTCTGAAAATCCTTAACACGAAGAATATTAATATTGGAGAAACCACTGTATTCGAGACTATTACAAATAAGAAAGAAAAAGCAAGCATCAAGGTATGTGCTAGATCACCATGAATGGTCAATAATATGAATTCCGTCATTTACACTGATTCACTCGATGTTTACAGAAAGCAAAAGTCACAATTCGTCAATTAATGCATCCAGCATTTAACAAGCTCATTAATGGTGAAATTGATGATTTCATTAAACTTTTGAAATATTTCTTGCAAACAAGATCACTGAGATAATTTCTTTTCTTTTTTGGGATCATTCTTTGCTTATGCTGTTTCCATAAATAAAATTTCAGCTCTTTTTGTTAGCTGCTTTAACTAGAACATGATAATCAGGCTTGGACCCGTTTCTGTTTGTAGTTTGCTGAACACAACCTGCACTTGCTTCGCTAGTTTCATCCCCCATATGAGAAAATTCAACACATTATCCAACTGAATAACATGGATAATCATTTTGAAATATGAAAACAATGGGCGTCCTCTGAAATTAAAATCTAAATAAATTTATCCTCGAAAATTAAATATTTAATTTAAAATTTTGAAATGGAAAATAAAGGATATTTGAATAATTTTGTAACTATTTCAAATATTTGTAATTATTTTGGACATTCATAATTTTCATAATCAGGAATTACAAATATTCAAATAGGGGGTAGGATTACAGTTAGGAACCCTACTCTGCAAAAAAACATTTTTTTTTTAATTTGGTTTGTAAATCAGTTAATCTTCTTGATCAAATTTTTAATTTTTGAGGCAGAGTTATCCTTTTTTGTCACATTTGTCACTTTGTGACAATTTTGAAATTGTAATAAAAAACAATTACATTCCAAATAGTGTTGTGTTGTGAACAATTATTTGTTTGAGTAAGGAATAAGTCCAAACTTGCTAGAAATATTTACGAATCTCATATTCCTCTTCCAATTAGAATTGCATATTCCTACGGATAACATTAAATATAACGCATGTTTATGTTTATGTTTTATATCTTATTTTTTGAAAGATTGTTTCATATATCAATATACCTTTATCAACCATTTTATATGAGTTGGTATTATTTTTTAAAAAAATACTTGGAAAAGTGCCCATGAAGAAGATGTGAAAAGTGGAAAATACGAAGTGATTAAGTTTTTTTGATGTTTATTCAAATAAATCAATGACAAAATCTGATAAATCTGAAAGTAATAACAGTGTTGGGATTAGACCTAGAAAGAAAAAAGTTCCCACCAATTTTTTTTTTATTAATTAAAAAAATTAAAAAAAATATTATTATTTTCTTAATAACATTACATGATTTTGTTAAAAAGTAAACTATTAAAATTTTCTGTCAATATATATTATATTTTCTAAATTGATTATCTGATTGACAATGAAAGCATTTCTGTTTGTTTGACTCTGCCATTAAAGTCTAATATTTTGTTCTTTAAATTATGAAATTTTACATTTAAAAATAAATATGAATAAATCAATATTATAATTGTAAAAATAAATTGGCTAATTAATCATTGTTCCTATCTGATTGATGCTTTACACTATTTTATGAAGATTGTTCTTTCTCTGTTTACGAAGTGATTTAAGATGTTTTTCTGTTATAGAGTCATTATATAAAGACTTTCTTCTATCAATCCTTCTATTTATTAAAAATTTCATTTTCCAATACCTCGGACCTTTTCCTTTAGTGTATAATATATTTTTAGAACCAGGATCTATATTATATTTAATCATATCTTGATTTAAACTTTCCAATTCTTCTTGTGACCCAAATTTTTTGTACAGTGGCTCTAGATAATAATATACAAATCTATCAGGCTTTATATTAAATTTCTTCATAAAATCATAAACTTTTTTTATATGATCAAATCTTTTTGCAATACCAAGACCTTGAATCAATACAGTCAAAATAACAACATCAGGTAGAATATTTTGTCTCATCATCTCAATAAAAATAGAAATTGCTTGATCTACTCTCTTTGATTTAATCAGTAAAGACATTACAGCTGTATAAGTATGAAGATCAAGTTTCAATCCACTTTTAATAAGATTTTCAATAATAACATAAGCTTTTTTAAAATTTGATGTTGAAGTTGCTAAAGAGATAATTGAAGTGTAGATAAAAAGATCAGGTTTTATTCCAGAAAAAACCATTTTATCAAAAAATTTCCAGGCTAGCTCAGATTGACCATTAAGGCTGTATTGACGTATAAAAGAATTAGAAGCAAACTTAGATATATGGATATTTCTTTTTTTCATTTCAATTAAAACATTTTTTGCACTTAATAGGTCATTTTTTTTGCAACAACCATCAATCAAAATTTCAAATGTAAATTGATTTGGTTCCACATTTTCTGACAACATTTCCATAAAAACTTTCTCAAGTTGAGTTGCAGTCACTTTAGGATCTCTAGAATAAGCATATAAAAGAGCATTAAAAGATTTAGTATTTGGAATGATACCTTTGGCTTTAATTATGTCAAATATTTTTCTTGAACCTTCAGAATCTGAAAGAGCAGCTTTGAGATAGATAAAAGAGACAAGTAGACGTCTATCTAATTGAATATTTTGTTCAACAATTTTCTGATAAATTTTAAAAGCATTTGTCAGATCATTATTTTGAAGATATGAATAGATTAAAGTTGTAAATAAAAATTTATCTATATCAATTCCAAAACCATCCATTTCTTTCAAAGTATATTTTATCATTGATGGATCTTTTTTAATTTTGTATCCATGGATCAGTGTAGTAAAAGTAATAACATCCGGAGGTATTAAATTCTCAATCATTTTTTTAAAATAATGTTCTG